GTTACACACGGAATGACAAATTTATATATACCCTCTATCACCACTGATGGTGGTGGAGGGTATAACAACAACAACGCTAAACGAAATAAACACACAAAAAAAAAACAAAATACACAACGCAATGAAACCAACAGACATCCAAACATACGAAACTGAATACACCAAAAAACAAAAACAATATACACAAGACACTGAAACATACGAAACGAAATACTCCAAAAAAAGCAAAAACAAAATACAGAACGCAATGAAACCAACAAACATCCAAACATACGAAACTGAATGCACCAAGAAACAAAAACAATATACAAGTTAAGAACAAAAAAATTACAATGAAATTTAAATACTTCAGGTCATTGCACGTTAATGCTTACCTAAGCAAACTAATAACAAAGGTAATAAACTTATGTTGCAATACTTTTAAACATAATTGCTGAGAAATTTATTGAACATTGCATTATTTATTATTTTTAAGTTAAAATATAATTTAGTTCAGTTCAATTTGTAACTCGCAACTTATAACATTAATAAAAATAAAATCGCTTCAGACTTACTAAAGTCTGAAGTTATTTTTTAAAAACTAAAAAATTAAAAATTTAGTTTAATTGGCGCCCGAGCAGGGACCGCGGTTGCCAAAAGGATAACCCAGTACGGTAATAAAATAAATCGTCCTGCACGTCAGCACGTCCCCATGGAGTCTCAAATAATAGGACCGTGGTTACCAAAAGGATAATCCAATACGGCATAAAATTAAATCGTCCTGCAAGACAGCACGTTCCCGCGGTATCCCGAAGAATAGTGAGCAGATACAAAAGGGCCGCCGAGTAGCTGGTTCGTACAGAGGAAAGGGTGTTGGAAACAACTGCCGCTGCTCCACTTATATTTAAGGATGATAAGTTTATATTTAATGTAAGTAAAAGGCATGAAAGGTTTAATTAACAAAAAGTGTAATATAAAAACATAATAACAAGAATCAAGAGTGAAATCAACAAAAGTGTAATAAATCTGAAATATAAAATAATTCAAGAGTTAAAATTATATCCTAGCTAAATCCTAGAAACAAATTCCTTTGTTATAAAAAAAACCTTTTTTAAGTAAATTTTAAATTGATAAAAAAAAATGTTTATAAATTCAAATATTGTGTAGAAAAATTTAAAAAGTAAATAAAAAATAAAATATAAGAGAAAGTATAAATTATTATTGCGTGAAAGAAAATTTAAAGTAAAATAAAAGCAAAATAAAGTAAAGAAAAAATATAAAAGATAAATCAATACTTTGTGAAAATTTTTAAAGAAGATAAAATAAAAAATAAGGATACAGTTTACAGTTTAGATACTAACACTAGATTAAAGAAATATTAAAAAATAATCTAATAAAAATCCCACGGGATTCAATAAACAAATAAAATTCGAGGCTGCGATTCCTACGGGACCCTCCAGTTTCATAATAATAACAAGTTAGAGTGCTATATTCGGCTGAGCCGAATCTTAAATACCCTCCACCAGCTACTTTTATATTAATAGTTTTTTAATTGATCAAATATTTTTAGAAATAAGTTTTCTCATGTCTTAAATAGAAAAACACCAAGATTTAAACAGCTTAAATCTGTTACAATTCCAAGATTTGTTGAACATTACAAACCCCATTTTCTTTTATATTTGTATAGCGCCCTTAGATATGCTTTAACGATATTTAATAATGTGCATGTATGCATGTGTGTGAAAGATTTAAGGATTTTCAAAATACATATATATAATTTTGTTCTACACAAATTGTTTTTAGGCGCAGAACCTAGTATGGGAGATATGACCAATTATAGACCGATCGTAAAATATTATTTAAGCAAAATTTCTGCACATAAAAACTATATTTCAGTCAAATTTTGTATCTATATCGTAATTTAGTAATAAGTAATGTGTGTTCAAGTGATTTTCTGAAGGGACACTGGCATGGGACCGACCGCACCCATGTTATAGACCGATCATGAAAAAATCTTGAAATAGAATTTTTGTATACCAAACTAATATTTGTGCCAAATTTTGTATCAATAGCTTTATTTGGTAATGAGTAATGTGCGTTTAAGAGATTTTCGTAAAAGGACCTAGGACCAATTATGTATATAAAGACAAAATTTCAAAATTCTATATCTATATCATTATTTGGCAATGAATATTGTGCATTTAAGTGATTTTCGGGAGGGGACCTTGTATGGGAGCTATGACCAATTATGGACCGATCCGAAATAAATTTCATAGTAATATTTCTGTGCATATGAGCAATACTTGTACCAAATTTTATATGGATATCTTGATTTAGTAATGAGTTATGCGCGTTTAAGTGATTTTCGTTAAGGGTCCTTGTATGGGAGCTATGACCAATTATGGACCGATCGCAATAGAAATATTTCTGTATATGAGAGCAATACTTGTACCAAATTTTATATGGATATCTTAATTTAGTAATGAGTTATGTGCTTTTAAGTGATTTTCGGGAGGGGGCCCTGTATGGGAGCTATGACCAATTATGGACCGATCCAAAAAATGTTTTCTCCCAATGAATTCTATTGATATAAGATTTTAATTTGTAAAATTTTGTGAAGATATCAACATTCTAACGGAAGTTATTAACAAAAAACTCATTTTCCGGGAATATGTACTTTTGCATGGGAGGTATATGAAATTATGGACCGATTCTGGCAATTTTCAGCAGGAATCAATATCTTGTGTAGAAACGAACGTATGATGACTTTCATGAAATTATCTTGCATAGTTTTCGAGAAAATTACATCAGAATGTGTAAAAAATTCTTATTTTTTTCGGAGTTGTTTTAAATTTTGATTCATAACTTTTCCCGATGTGAACCGATTTTGCTCATTTTCAATACCAAACTGTACCGGATAATAGTGAATATTTTGGGTGAATTTGGTTAAATTATATTGCTTCGTTTTATCGTGAGCGTGTTTTACACAGACAGACGGACAGTCAGACGGACGGACGGACAGGCGGACATAGCTAAATCGACTCAGAATTTCATAAGGACCCAGAATATATATACTTTGTTGGATCTCAGATGAATATTTCTTGGTGTTACACACGGAATGACAAAGTTATATATACCCTCTATCACCATTGATGGTGGTGGAATATGTACTTTTGCATGGGAGGTATATGAAATTATGGACCGATTCTGGCAATTTTCAGCAGGAATCAATATCTTGTGTAGAAACGAACGTATGATGACTTTCATGAAATTATCTTGCATAGTTTTCGAGAAAATTACATCAGAATGTGTAAAAAATTCTTATTTTTTTCGGAGTTGTTTTAAATTTTGATTCATAACTTTTCCCGATGTGAACCGATTTTGCTCATTTTCAATACCAAACTGTACCGGATAATAGTGAATGTTTTGGGTGAATTTGGTTAAATTATATTGCTTCGTTTTATCGTGAGCGTGTTTTACACAGACAGACGGACAGTCAGACGGACGGACGGACAGGCGGACATAGCTAAATCGACTCAGAATTTCATAAGGACCCAGAATATATATACTTTGTTGGATCTCAGATGAATATTTCTTGGTGTTACACACGGAATGACAAAGTTATATATACCCTCTATCACCATTGATGGTGGTGGAGGGTATAAAAAAAATATAATAAATAATAATAACAATAACACTACATAATAAAAAAAGTTAGCCATCTCATATTCCTTGTTAAAATGTCAAACCCAAGTAATTTAATCTGGCCACCTGTAGTGAGCGTACAGGAAAATCAGGCACCATTTAATATGAGGGATTTAGAAATGGAAATTAGGAGAATGATCACTGAGGCAATACAAGAACAAGTTAGAAATCCTGACAATGCTAGGAATCAGGTGATTGACCAAGATCCGCAACATAGGGCACAACTAAATGATTTGGACAGGGTACCTGAGGTAGTCAGAAGCCTAAGAGAATTTACAGGACAACCAGGAGAATATAGTTCCTGGAGGAAGTCTGTTGAGCGAATTTTGAACATTTACAAACATTTAAGGGGAACACCCAAATACTTTGGAATCCTTAGCGTAATAAGGAATAAAATTGTTGGCAGTGCAGATGCCATATTAGAATCGTTCAATACACCCTTGAACTGGGAAAGTATTTCTCACTGCTTAACTCTGCACTATGCAGATAAGGGAGATGTTAATAACCTCGAATATCAGTTAACTTTAGAAAAAGATTTAGAATCAAAAGAAGTTACTGAAGATTCAAATAAAACAAACAATTCAAAGCAAGATTCTTCACTCAAAAACACTGAAACTGAACAAAATGAACTTGAACAATCTGAAAGAAAAGATAAAGAATCCCAATCGAAGCCTCAGCTTGAAGGATCTAATATAGTATTACACTACTCCTCCTGTGAAGATTTGGAAGCATCAAAGACGCAAACTGACGATATAAAATCCGAAACAGAAGAAACTAAAGATGAATCAGTTAAATCCGAAGATTACACTGATAGTAGTGATACACGATATTTGAAAAATCTATGTTTAACGAAAAATTTAAAAGTATTAGTACGGAAATTACGTCCTTCAGATTTAACAGATTTAAGGCAACCTATAGTAAAGGTACGACGTGTTAACTATGAAAAATACATCGCCGAGTTTAGAGCTAAACGAAGGCGAAAGGTTGGAAGAGCTTATGTTGATATCGACGACAATTTTAATTCGAACAAAAGCTACGACACCAATAGCAGTTCCTCTGATGCCTATCAACCGCCAAAAGTTAAAAGAAAGAAAATACGATAGACATCCTAATAAGTCAAATATATCACCTACTCCAATCTCATAATATGCAGGAGAAATACTACACGTAGATATTTGGTCCACTGAAAAACATTTAACACTAACTGCAATAGACAAGCTTACAAAATACGCACAGGCAACAGTTATAAATTCTAGGTCAATAGCAGATATTAGAGAACCATTAAGGAAAATATTATTTAATTTGGTGTCCCCAGAATGGTAGTTGTAGATAACGAAAAATCTTTAAATTCAGATTCAATTTTATATATGCTTGAAGATCAGCTGAACATAAAAGTTTTCAAGACTCCTCCCTACAAAAGTACCGTCAATGGCCAAGTGGAACGATTTCATTCCACATTGTCAGAAATTATGCGTTGTCTTAAAACAGAAAAGACACATAGGACCTTTGAAGAATTACTAGACAGAGCGGTTTATGAATATGATTGCACCATACACTCAACAACAGGCAAAAAACCCATAGAATTATTCTTTGGAAGAAGAGTTAGAACTATTCCAGAACAATATGAAAACGCAAGAAAGGAGAATATAGAAGCCATAGTCAAGAAACAAGCAAAAGACATTGAAAATCATAACAAAAAACGAAACCCTTTTAAAGACTATATCCCAGGTCAGAAAATTTATGTAAAAAATAATAAAAGATTAGGATCTAAATTGTCACCAAGATATAAAGAGGAAATAGTGAAAGAAAATAACAAGAGTACGGTATTAACAGAATCTAACAGAACGGTTCATAAAGACCATATAAAAAATTAATATTTCAAACAAATTCACATACTATTTTGTTTCAAAACATTGGATGAGCTAACAAGTAATAATATAATAAGAAATACATTTCCAAATCTATACGAAAATATAATTCTATTTTGAAATGAAAATATTGAAATAAATAAAATAAGATTAACAAAGCTAGGAATTATAAATGTTTGTTAAATAAAAAAAAGAAATAAAATTTGTAATGAATCAATAAAAATAACATGTATGTCTTTATTTTAGTAAAATTGAAAAACAATTAGAATGATCAAATATAAATAATACAATTATTTTATTAATAAAATTTATAATACAAGACAAAACTATAAAAAAAAATTGTAAAATCAATTGCATATAAATAATAATGTAACAAATAAATAATAAAAATGTTTTTTAATGAAAATTAAACTTATGAAAAAAAGAAAATTGTAAAATTTTTATAACTAAAATTTATAAAGAACAAATGTATTAGATTTAAGTAAAGAAAATTGTATAGCACTGGAAAAATTAAGTTGAAACACCTGTTACGAGAATAAATGAAATACCTTACTTTTGAGTCAATCGAGGACGATCGAATTTAAGGGCGGAGGAGTTAAGAACAAAAAAATTACAATGAAATTTAAATACTTCAGGTCATTGCACGTTAATGCTTACCTAAGCAAACTAACAACAAAGGTAATAAACTTATGTTGCAATACTTTTAAAACGAAATACTCAATGAATAAGCAGTGTTGTTGTTGTTGTTGCTTATATCAAAGCATGAAAAAAATTGTCTTTTTTATGAAATTTTCAGAGGTTGTCTCGGATTTTTGCTCATATCTCCGGTATTTATGGACCGATTTTGCTGATTTTAAATAGCGATCTTCTCGAAAGCATGTCTAACAGAATTATTGAAGATTCGGATCTCACCGATATCTGTGGTCCTCTAAAAACTGATTTCAACAAACACACAGACGGACAGACAGACGGACATAGCTTAATCAACTCCGCTACCTATAAGGATCCAGAATATATATACTTTATGGGGTCGGAAAATTATATTATAGAAATTACAAACGGAATGACAAACTTATATATACCCTTCTCACGAAGGTGAAGGGTATAAAAATACGTACCATTAACCGTACAAAATTTCAAGCGATTTTCTTTCTATTTGAAAAAGTACAGGCAATTGAAGAAACTCTGAAACGATTATGAAACATTCTGCACAAAATTATGAAAAATTCGGAAGATTTCAAATTCCTTTAAAAATAACAAAATTAAGTTTTTTTCTGTTCTAAAAAATATGAAGAATGACAGAGAAAACAAAACAACTTTTAATTTGACAAACAATTTTGAGTAGTTCATTAAAGAGTAAAACCACCGTTTTTGTCTCATCATTGTTTCTCAAAAATAAATCCATTTATACAAAAGTATGTTTAAACATATTACTTTTATTCATTAGCTTTTATACATTCACACTAAAGTTTTGACTGAATTTAGACACCACTTATTAAATCCGAAGAAACAAAGGTCAAATATCGTTAGATGTACAAAGCAGATACCCAAATAATTTTACTTATTAAAGTATCCACGTCTTCCTTAATTAAAATAAATTTCAGAATTTGTAAATGGTAAATGGAAAAAGTGTGCTGGAGTTATTCAAAATTATTATTTAATTTGAAAAGCGTAGAATACATAAGGCGCTACATACACAGAAAAAAATAAAAATCGTATTTGACTACAAAATTCACAGATCTGAATCCAAAATTATTCAATTTCCAGCCTATAATTTTTTTTGTCTCATTGACTACGACATTTGTAATTTTTTGTCTTGTTTTGGTTTTTTACAGTCGATAAAAAAAAATAATTAAAACGACTAAAATATTACTCAGTAAATTTTTTACTACACAACAAACTTTTTTATCAAACCAAAAAATGTTTTTGTTAATTTTTTTACTTGTTTTTCGATAAAATAATTTGTTGGTTTGATTATAAAATTTGTTAAGTAAGTAGAAAAAAAAATGATAATTATTTTTATTAAGACAACCATTTTTTTTTTGTTGGATTTAATGCCAATTTCAATAAAAATATCATTGATTTGACTAATTTGTTTATCAAACTAGTTTTTTTCCACTCCAAATAATAAAAAAAATTATTTTTACTTTTATTTTATTTAAAAATAAAAATGGGAAAAAGCAAAAGCCGCCAAAGTTATAGCGGTTTAAAGATAAGAGTGTAAAAAAATTCCCAAAATTACATTTTTACATTAAACTCGAAAATATATGCGTGGATATAACCCACAACGAAGGACCCAAAATACAAATTAATTTAACCTAAATATTTTAAATGTTCGTGGATAAATTCGCTTTTTAAGAGTTTTTTCAACCTCTTCCAAAAATATTTTTTAAAAAACTAATTACACATATTTTTATATACTGTTTAACACGATAAATTAATACATTAATTTACAATCATTAAGTAAAAAAATTATGCATTTATATTTGATAGATTAAAAATTATGAGGTTTTAATTAATTTATGCATATATTCGAATGCAATTTTTTTAAAATTGCATTAAATCCAAAATGGTTGTATTTTTTCAAACGGCTTATAGATTTTGCTATACACCTCATTAATAGCAACCTAAAAGAATATAATTTTATTAATTTTAATTAGCAGGAAGGGTGTGTTCCACAAGTTTTTCTTAAAAGAAAAACACTGCACACGAGAAACTTTGATGCAAATATTTTTGTGGTTAGCCAATAACTGCTTGTTTATAATTACCTTCTGCTTCCATTTCTGAATTTAAATGAGTAAATAATATAAAACCCGTTAAAATGAAAATACACATGACCGAACTTTTTTCAATGCATTTAATACAAAATCGTACTTTTTTCTAACGGCTTATCGATGTTGGTATCATTGTCAGCTACCGATTAGTGTTAAGTGTTACCAATTTTAATTAGCGGTTTAGGTGTGCTACGTCGATTTAACTCAAGAAACACCGCGTTTTCCTCTAAAGAGAAATTTTGATGAGATATCTTTTGTAATTAACATATCCCTTTTTATCTACAATTAACTGCTTTTTTCATTTCTAAATTTAAATGAATTATTAATCCAAAAAGCCGTTAAAATGATAACCAGTCCGGTTAATTTAAATTTTGATTTTCATATAAGCATCATTGTCAGCTACCGGTTGATGTATAATGTCCCCAATTTAAATTAGCGGCTTAGGTGTGCTTCATCGATTTATGTTGTGAAAGAAACCCTGCGTATTCAGTCCACGAAAGGCCTTGATTAAATTTTTTTTTGATGCAAACCAATTCTTTCTATATAAAGATTTGTTACTGATAAAATTAAGAATTTAAAATTTGTTTATAATGCGAAAATTCGCTAAAGTTAAAAAAAATTCGCAATTTTTTTGTATTCGTTCTAACATTTTTGCATGCTAATATTTTATCGCGGCTTTATGATTTCAACATGTAGAATTTAAAAGTATTTCGATCACGCGATATTTTGGGTATATTGAAGTTACGCTGTAAGTGTGCTTCGCGAAAAAGCTCTTTTTTCGAAACTTTCACGTTTGTTTTTCCAATATTTAAGCTTCTCCCGTAGTGATACCTTCTAGAGCACATTTTGGAAATATACATCAAACGACGCGTAATTACAATGTCTACTTTTTCTCATATACATAACCGAAGAGCCGCAAATATTATATACAAAAAACTGCAAATTTTGTAAAATTGTATAAATTTGGTTTCAAAGCATTGCGACCACGTAATTCTTTACTTATAAATGGCACAACAATTAAATATGGACTATAGTCATTCAACAAGTGTATACAGCTTACGTTAGCGAAATTGACTTTCTAAGTTGTAAGCCGCCCTCATAATATCAAAAAGTTGTAAAAAAAACTACTTGGTTTCAATCACATTTTTGAGAAACTTTAATTTTTTTCAAAATATTAAACGACAGAAATATTTAATGCATAAAGTTGATTTCTTAAAATCTAAAACAACAAGTCAGAGTGCTATATTCGGCTGAGCCGAATCTTAAGTACCCTCCACCAGCTACTTATACATATATTAATACTTTTCTAATTGATCAAATATTTGTAGAAATAAGTTTTCTCATGTCTTGAATTCTATTACAATTCTATTCTATCTATTCTATTACAATTCCATGATTTATTGAACATTACAAACACCATTTTCTTTATATTTTTAAAGCGCTTAGCGATATTTAGTAATTTGCATGTATGCATGCACAGAAAAAATTTTAGCCAATTTTCTTTCTATTAAATGGATAATTGTTAAAAAATGTAATTTTGAGTAATTTTTTATTTAATTTGATAAATATTTTTATTAATATCGTCGTGTTTTTCTGACAGTGCTATCAATATATAAAAAATAAATATCGGATAAAATCCAAATAATTGCTCTATGTTAAACACATGTTAATATTTGCGCTTTTTTTACAAGTGCATAAAGCGCTACCAAACAGCACTTATAAATAGAAAAATATTTCCATTAAAAATAGTTAAACATTTTTTTACTTAATTCAACAAATGTTTTTGTTGACTTGAAAAGTTTTTTTTGCAGTTCTGGAAAACAAGATGCAGCATGATGAAAAAAAAACGATAAATAGCTGTCAGTGTTGTTGTGTAGTAATTTTAATACTATGAAACAAGCAAAAAAATATCATCAAAATCAAATCTTCATGTAAAAAAAATATAATAAGAAGTTTAACTATATATATTTAAAACGGCAACACCTATTAATTTCGGTTGAATAAAAAACAAAAGAACAAAACAAGTTTAGTTCTTCTTTTGTTTTCGTGGTGACAACATCAATGTTAAAGTGCTAAAAAATTAAACAACAACAACAAAGTGCAACAACAACAACATTTATAACGGTAAAAGCAAGTTGTGTATTAGAAAGAATTGTAAGTAAAACAAAATACAAAACTAACTAAGATTAAAATAAGAAGTGTTTTATGCATTTAAAAAGTGGTGTACTTTAGAAAAAATAATAATTTATAATTAAAAACAGAAAAATGAATGAAATTAAATGTTTTTTGTGTGATACGTTTTTTATTTATCCGTTGGTGACCAAGCGAAGTTTGAAAACTGTTTAGAGAAGTGGAAAGAGACATCTACTCCATTCTTCAAAAGAGATGAAATCCAGTTATCTTCGGATTCTTCACAGAAATCGTCGTTTGTTTCCGTAAAAGAAATTTTATCAAATACATTTAATGGCAAGGAAATCCTAAAATTTTATTCCAAAAATGATATTTTACGTGAGGAACAACGAAATCTTCTTATATCAACTGTAGCTAAATATATAGAAGGTAATGGGATACCTTATACTATATCAGATTGTGCTGATATAGAAAACCAGATATGCAATATTTTCCCGTCAGAACAACTTGTAAGTTTATTCTATAATTGCATAACAGTTTAAAGCTAAAAATAATTAAAAATTTATGTTTTCAGGATTTTTACTCTAACGGTAAACGTGGCAAAATCTATAATAAATTATCAAATTTAAAAAGGCTTTCGAAAGACATTTTTAAAGAAAAATCATCGCCGGAAGAAGATAAAACGTTCGGTTAGTATATACCTAATTTTAATTTAGTAAAAAAATAATTAAATGATTTTTTTCTACTTCTAATTAGAACCAGAAGAAAATGTGGCCGTCACATTGCAGTATTTAAGACTACCTACAATTACTGCGGACGAGTTTGACTTGTACTGGTGCAAATGTGCCCGTTACCGTTTAAAACAGATTTCAGAATCTAAAAGTACTGCCGAAATTTTTCAGATGTGGCCTGAATACAAAAAGCCTTCTGGTTCAAATCTAGTAAGTAACTTTTAAACAACAAAAAAACATTCAAATTCAATTTCTTCATTTACAGATTAATATAGACTTTGAACTGAAATTTCCTTTTGCCAAACAATTTTCTGAAAGATGGTTATGCTATAAAGATAAAGTAATCTACTTGCTACAAAGTAAGATCAGCAACCTTACTATTTCAAAAAAAATGCAACAAATACATACATTTAATGAAGGTATATTATACACTTTTATTTTTGTTAAAAAGTTATACTTTTTAATTATTTGTTTACATATACCTTTTCAGAATCTGTAGTTTTAACAGTACTTTGGAATATACACCATTTATTTCCTCCAACACAAAAAGTCACCTCGGACATGAGTGGGGCAAAAATTCGCAAAAAGTTTTCCGTGCTGGATTCACAGGAAAGTTTTGCAATATTGGCAGAATCCGAAGAAGAAATTGAAATAAAATTAAAACTTCTTATGCTTCAAGGGCCCAAATTATTAATTTCTGGCAACTTAGAAGATATTAAATCAATATTTGTTTACTTCGATGGCAATAAGTATCCATTTTTAACTATTGTAAAAGCATTCGATTTACTTTTTAAAATATTTTTTGTTTTTAATCTTCAGTTTCCCGAGGAATCTGAAATATTTTATAATTTTATTCAAGATTTTTTTTTATGACATGCCCACGTCAAAAAAAATTGTAAAGGTGTCAACACTCAAGCATGAAATCTTAAAAATTAAAGATAATTTTTATAATTGATTTATATTATATAATTTGTATTATTTGTGCCATACAAAAATTAAATATATAATTGTATATATTTTATACTCTTATTTTACTAAGTATATTCATTCTTTGTAATAAATAATGAAAAAAAACAAGTATTTTTATGGGGGTAAAACTGAGTAAAATATTATTTAAATCAATTAAAATGTATATTACTTTTTTTTGCAAAAAGTAATTAATTTATTTACTAAAACAATAAAAATATTAATTGGATATATAAGAAGTTTTAATCACGATGATTATCAAATTAAATAAAAAATTTATTGAATTATAATTTTATTTTCAACCAATATTTTATTTGAAATAATTATTTGTTTTTTTGATATTTTTCAAATTTTCCAATAAAATTGTTTGTTAATATAATATTATTTTAATTGGAAATATTTCTTGAAATTTCCAATGAAAAAAATATCACTCAGTACTTGAATTTGCGAATATTTTCATAGGCTGAAATCTAAAAATTTTTTTACTCAACTGGATGAATTTCGTAATTGAATCGCGTTTTCAATTTTTTCTGTGTGTGTGTAAAAGATTTAAGGATTTTCAAATTTTGTTCTACACAAATTGATAATGCAACGAGTTAACTACGGTTAAAGCGCTTTTAGGGGCAGGACATAGTATGGGAGATATGACCAATTATAGACCGATCGTAAAAAATTTTTTAAGCTAAATTTCTGTTCATAAAAGCTATATTTCAGTCAAATTTTGTATCTATATCGTAATTTAGTAATAAGTAATGTGTGTTTAAGTGATTTTCTGAATGGAACCTTGTATGGGAACGACCGCTCCTATGTTATGAACCGATCGTGAAAAAATCTTGAAATAGAATTTTTGTATACAAAATTAATATTTGGGTCAAATTTTTTATAAATAGCTTTATTTGGTAATGAGTAATGTGCGTTTAAGATATTTTCGTAAAAGGACCTTGTATAGGAGCTATGACCAATTATGTATATAAAGACAAAATTTAAAAATTCTGTATCCATATCATTATTTGGTAATGAATATTGTGCATTTAAGTTATTTTCTGGAGGGGAGCTAGTATAAGAGCTATGGCCAAATATGGACCGATCGTAAAACAATTTTATAGTTTAATTTATGTATATAAGAGCAATATTTTTGCTAAATGTATGGATATCAATATTTTGTAATGAGTTATGTGCGTTTAAGTGATTTTCGGGAGGGAACCTTGTATGGGAGCTATGACCAAAGTTGGACCGATCATGAAAAAATGCTCAAATAACATTTCTGTGTACAAAAGTAGTATTTATGTCAAATGTTTTATGGGTATCACTATTTGATAATGAGTTATGTGCCTTTAAGTGTTTTTCTGAAAGAGACTTTGGGAGCTATGATCAATTATGGACCGATAGGAAAACAAATTCACAATAATATTTGTTTGCGTTTAAGTGATTTTCGGAAGGGGACCTTGTATGGGAGCTATAACCAATTATGGACCGATCGGAAAAAAAATTCACAGTAATATTTTCGTGCATATGTGGATATCTTAATTTTGTAATGAGTTATGTGCGTTTAAGTGATTTTCGGGAGGGGACCTTGTATGGGAGCTATGACCAATTATGGACCGCTCGGAGAAAAATTTCACAGTAATATTTTCGTGCATATGAGCAATACTTGTACCAAATTTTATGTGGATATCTTAATTTTGTAATGAGTTATATGCGTTTAAGTGATTTTTGGGAGGGGACATTGTATGGGAGCTGTGACCAATTATGGACCGCTCGGAGAAAAATTTCACAGTAATATTTCTGTGCATATGAGTAATACTAATACCAAATTTTATATGGATATCTTAATTTAGTAGTGAGTTATGCGCGTTTAAGTGATTTTCGGGAGGGGACCTTGTATGGGAGCTATGACCAATTATGGACCGATCAGAAAAAACTTTCACAGTAAAATTTCCTTGCGTATGAGCAATACTTATAACAAATTTTATATGGATATCGTAAGTTAGTAATGAGTTATGCGCGTTTAAGTTATTTTCGGGAGGGGACCTTGTATGGGAGCTATGTCCAGTTATGGACCGATCCAGAAAATTTTTTCTCTGAATGAATTCTATTCACATAAGATTTTAATTTGTAAAATTTTGTAAAGATTTCGAAATTGTGACGGAAGTTATTAACAAAAAATCCAATTTCCGGGAATATGTACTTTTGTATGGGAGGTATATGAAATTGTTGACCGATTCTGGCAATTTTCAGCAGGAGTCAAGCTTTTGTGTAGAAACGAATGTATGGCGATTTTCATGGAATTATCTTGCATAGTTTTCGAGAAAATTACATCAGAATGTGTAAAAAATTCTTATTTTTTTCGAGGTTGTTTCAAATTTTTATTCATAACAATTCCGGGTGTGAACCGATTTTGCTTATTTTCAATACCAAACTGCCTAGGACAATAATAAATATTTTGGGTGAATTTCGATAATTTTTCATAATTTCATAAGGTCCAAGAATATATATACTTTGTTGGGTCTCAGATGAATATTTCTTGGTGTTACACACGGAATGACAAAGTTATATATACCCTCTATCACCGCTGATGGTGGTGGAGGGTATAACAACAACAACGCTAAACGAAATAAACACACAAAAAAAAACAAAATACACAACGCAATGAAACCAACAGGCATCCAAACATACGAAACTGAATACACCAAAAATACCGGTATTTATGGACCGATATCTGGGGTATCTGGGGTCCTCTAAAAACTGATTTCAACAAATACACAGACAGACAGACGGTCAGGCAGACAGACGGACATATATTAATCAACTCCGCTACCTATAAGGATCCAGAACATATATACTTTATGGGGTCGGAAAATGATATTATAGAAATTACAAACGGAATGACAAACTTATATATACCCTTCTCACGAAGGTGAAGGCTATAAAAAATATATAAAAAATAATAATAAATAGAAGCATAACAATTATCGCGAATTTAAAAATAGTTTAAATGAATTTTTAAACTTTAATGTATTGCTCATTCGTTGAAGCCATGCTGGTAAGGAGTTCCATAACCATTTTTGGGATTTTTTAAAACTTTTTTGGGAATTTCGGGATTTCTAATAAGAAAATTCGAATTTTTTATTAATTTAGGATTTTGAGTAAAAAAATCTACCTAACTGTAAAATTTCATCAAAAAATATTCATAAACAAGTTAGAGTGCTATATTCGGCTGAGCCGAATCTTAAATACCCTCCACCAGCTACTTTTATATTAATACTTTTCTAATTGATCAAATATTTGTAGAAATAAGTTTTCTCATGTCTTAAATAGAAAAAATCCCAAGATTTATTTAATTTTGTAATAAGTTATGAGTATTTATGTGATTTTCTGAAGGGAAACATGTATAGGACCGACCGCACCCATGTTATGAACCGATCGTGAAAAAATCTTGAAATAGAATTTTTGTATACAAAACTAATATTTGTGCCAAATTTTGTATCAATAGCTTTATTTGGTAATGAGTAATGTGAGTTTAAGAGATTTTCGTAAAAGGACCTTGTATGTGAGCTATGAACAATTATGTATATAAAGACAAAATTTCAAAATTCTGTATCTATATCATTATTTGGTAATGAATATTGTGCATTTAAGTGATTTTCTGGAGGGGACCTAGTATGAGAGCTATGACCAAATATGGACCAATTGCAAAACAATTTTATGTTTTGCAATCGTAATTTTGTATATAAGAGCAATATTTGTGCTAAATGTTTATATATCAATATTTTGTAATGAGTTATGTGCGTTTAAGTGATTTTCGGGAGGGGACCTTGTATGGGAGCTAGGACCAATTATGGACCGCTCCGAAAAAAACTTCCATAATAATATTTCTGTATATGTGATAGGGAGAACGACTCGGTTTTTCCCGACCGGTTTTTATCGGGTTTTTTGAACATTGGTGAACTCGGTTTTTTGAAAATTGACTATTTCCGAATATCGAATAATCCGGTTTTTTAATGACGAAAAACCGGTTTTTATATATTTTACTCTTTTTTGTACATTACATACAATAATAGTCATTTCCAAATATGTTTATAAAATTAAGGTTTTTATTTTATATAAATATTTGGCAAACATACGCATAAGCCGGATTTTTTTAACTTTTTTTCAAAATAAAACAAAAGTGCTATATTCGGCTATAACGAATCTTATATACCCATCATCAAATCATGTGCCATAAATTTTAAGTAAATTATGAGCTTTATAGTAATTTTCTGAGGGGGGCTTTATATGAAGGGTAGAGGCAATTATGGACCGATCCGCATAAAATTTGACAAAGAGTTTTATGTTCCAATAAAATTTGTTAATGTCGAATTTCGCAGCTATATAGTAATATTATAGTCATTTTCTGCAGGGGGCCTTATATGGGTCGTAGGGTCAATTGTAGACCGATCCTCACAAAATTTGGCAGACAGATTTTGGTTGCTCTAAAACCTGTTTATGTCAAATTTCATCGCTATATATGCTTTTTTAACCCAGTTATAAGCTTTACAGCTGGGTAAGGAGAAAAAACAATCTGCATCAACTAAAAATATTTGTCCAAAATTTCAGCTCTCTAGCTCGCTCCGTTTGGACTCTACCGTGTTTTCAACAGACAGACACGGACTTACATGGCTAGATCGTTTTAAAATGTAATAAGGAAACAGAATATATGCATTCATGGGTCTTAGTCCAATATTTCGATGTATGTATTACAAACGGAATGATGGTGGGTAAAAAAATATTTTATGTGACAGGGATTTTAACTATTTTTTGTATATTTTTAAAGATCTATTATTGAATATTTTTAAAATTGATTAATATTTTTCTTTTTGCATTTTAAATAATTTAAAGAAGCTTAAAGTACATTATTAATAATAACT